AGACCTCATATAAATTTGTCCAAAAATGGATCTTATAAGGATGTTTGTTTAAAGATCTATAGTTTGTAGTTATTTAAGCAAAATATTACTATAATTTTTATTATTACTTTTTTTCATACAAATACTAAATATGATTGTTGTGAATTTATATGTTAGATTTTAGATACAATGCATGTTGCACAAATTTTGTATGAACTTGTATTAAAGGGTGGTTCTATATGTATGGACAAAGAAGGTAAATAAGGTTTTTTTATGTAATTATGATTTTTTATAAAAATAAAATAACTTGCTTAGCATGTCCAACATGTAAAATCTAGCATCAATGAAGATCAATATAGAAGATATATTGTAAAGTAAACATATTCATGCCTAATTTAAAATCCATTTCTAATTAAAGATATTATATTTTGTATAGATATGTTTTATAACTATAATATACTTGCTTCACTTAAGGTAGAACCTAAATCTAAATAAAGATATAACAAAGGACTAGCTCATTTTTATTTATTTTTTTTGTAGTCAACAATATGATTGAATTGTCTCTTGGTTTTTGTGATAAACATATATTTCTTTTCTATTTGTATCTAACAATATGCACATCATTAAAGTCATTCTATACTTAAGTCAAGTAGATCAATAATTTGTTGTCTTTTAAAGATTCATGGACAAAAATTATGATAGAAGCTAGATAAGGACTTAAATTGTGTATATCTTTTCAAAATATTGTTCTTAAAACAAAACTTATGATTCACCCTAAGCACAAGATCTTTCTTTTTTACTTTCTAGTAGAGTTTTTTTTATTATTTAAGGCATTGCTGCTCATTGAACTCAATAATTTATGTATTTAAAATATATTAGAACAATTATTTTAATATTAAAACCTTATGTGGCTTATTACATGAAAAAATATTATATTTGAATGAAAAGTAATGCAAAAATCATTGATTAGGTCAAAAAAATTAATCTATCAAAGAATTGACAGTTGTAGAATAAGAAGCTTTTCTACAAAATCATGTATTTTTAAAATCCTTAAATAGCAAAATTATAATTTTATTCTTCACTTAATTTATAAGATTTCATTTTTTTTAATAATTATGTAAAAAGTAAGGATATTATTTTATAATCTAAAAAGAACCTCCATTCTAACAAATATTATCAGCTAAGCAAAGAATATTAGTTGAAGAGTATCAATTTGGTGAGGCTTTATTGTATTACAAACAAGAGCCTTAGGAATTTTAATTTTTTTTATAAATTTGCAAGGCACTTCTACTATAGATTGGAATTTTTTATATTATTTTCAAAATACTTTCTAAAAGCCTCATTTTAAGGCTACTTTTGTAGATAATATTCTTATTTCTAAGACAAAGAAAGAATAGATATTGTGATTTATATTATCTTCTAAAGATTTGGTAGAATCTTTGATTTAAGAAAACTAAGCAAATTTTGAGGACATGCTTTCTTTTTTCAAAGACCATCTTTTAAAATTTGACTTTGGATTAGCAAAAAAAAAATCACTATCATTTTATATAAATATTGTTAAAAAATTTTATAGATGTATTGTGATAATTTTTTAAAAAAATAAATTCTTTTAAAGCTTTTAATTATTTATTAATTTTATATCTTCTTATTTTGGTCTTTTGATAATTCATAATCTCTTTATAAAATATCTAAATTTGAATTTTTATTATTTTTATTTTATTTTGAAAAAAACTATTTATTCTTATAATTTAAATTATACATGTTATACAAGCTTTTAATATAATTCTACAATCAATTTTACTTATTTCGTATAAAGTGGATTTTAAAAGAAAAGTGGACAACATTGGGGCCTTCTTTTCGAATTCAGTATATATTTATTTCATAATGTTATTACTAAATATTGTAAAAAAAAGACTATTCAATTCAATTAATCCCTACTAAAATATTTTAAGAATTTTTTTAAATTTTATTAAAAACTTAAACATTGTGTATAGTTTAATGTTTCTTTCTATGAAAAAATCTCAATAGTTTGATTAGAAAGCTTCATCAAAAAGAATTTGTATCAACTTTTGCAACAAGTTTTTTAAAACTTAGACAACAAAATTGTAACCTTACAAGTAATTAAGTAAAGTAAGATTAGAGATATCTTATTAGATTATGTTTAATAGAATTTTTTTATGACTAGTTCTACTAAGATTAAAAAAAAAAAAAAATGAATGTTGAATTAACTTATTATTATATGTGTTCTAAAAATTATAATTTATAATGTTGTTTTTCATTCTTTTTTTTAAATGAAGTTAATATTGACTTATACTTCTATTGGAAAAATTTAAGAATGCAAAATCGTGTTTACAAACATTCAACAATTTAATCTAGCAAGTGTAGCATCTATTTAAGAAAATGTTAAAATGACCCAAGCTTTTACTAAATCAACCCACTTGTCGAAACCATCATTGCATCTCCTCTTCCCCATCCCCGTTCCCCTTGTTCTCAACCCGTCCCCATTCCCCCCGTTCCCAACCCTCGTCCCCGTTCTTAGCCTATGTCTCTGGTGCCGACCTCCCCTCCCTATTCGTGTCCCCAAGAGTAATCGTTGTTGTTGTTATCCCCCCCAACTCTCTTTTCTGACCTCCTGAGCGTTGTATGATGAGACTTCGAGAGAGTACTTCTGGAGAGTGAAGGTCTGCTCTACGATCACTGCGGGCGACATGCGCGCAGACTAGTTGATGTCCATAGTATTCTTCAAGCGGGCGGCGAGAGCCTTGTGCACCGGATGCATGATGCTCAACTAGCTAGAATAGAGTAGAGTAGAAATGCCCAGAGAGCCTCGATCACCATGGGGTTCATACCGGCCAACACTTGACGACCAAACTCGACGTCTTCGGTCTAAGCTTTCTTGTTAGCTGTCACCACAAAGCAGCACCACAAGTATCAGGCGCAGACCCATGGAACGATCGGGAAAATAGCGACGTCGCTCATAGCTACGATTCCATTCAATTGAACTTACAGACGGCAAACGTCCAATCAAAGTTTTGAAGTTCGAGTACCAGCAATGATTCTCAGCGTGGGTACTTGAACACGTTTCTATTGTCATCGAAGACGGATGAGCTTGAATGGACATCATAAAGCAGGAGTAAGGACACGTGTAGCCTCTTTGTAGCCAAACATTTTCAGCTAGCGCATTTGAAGGAGGGATCTGGAACTTCATGCAAGCCTACTTGCAGGTGCTTCAAATACACTAATTCCATCATACTAACCTTGAACCTCAAAACTACGACTTTTCTTGACTAAAAATTCATTTCTGCGCAATCAAATTTGTTATTTAGCCAACTAATACCCAATACAAGCTTTAACATGGAAGACATGTAACACTTGAAAGAAAATAAAAACTTATGCTGCAGCTGTTGGTTGCATCTACAGAAATTACCTCCGAGAAACTTATGAATTTGGTGAAACCTTACAATCTACCCCTCACTGATGCAAGATATGCTTTCTCTTCAGTGAGAAATTGCGCTCTCCCCACTGACTGATTCAGGATGCTTTTTTCCTTTGATGACCTTTCATTTGAAAATTTCAAATATATTGCAGCTAGCACAGTTGTCACTTAAAAAAAACTCAGAGAATGCTGTAATATCTCCAACGACATATTCTTCTTTTGAAGTATTTTAAAAACCTTCAGTATCAGTTGGACTGGTATCGATACAAGCTGCTTATAGCTGATCAGCTGCAACGCAATTAAAGTTGGCCTCGATAAGTGCTCTTGAACGAACTAGCAAATCAACAATGCATTTCCGAGAAAAGTCCTCATTGAATGTGATTAATTTCCTGTCTCTATTTGTCCTTCATTAGTGAGTTGTACCCTAAAAGTTTTACATCTTAAACCAAGATACCAGCTTTCTTTCGCTGCAAGCTTCACCTCTTCTCAAGACCTCGTTGCATTAACCACCACATGCGGTTGTATTATTCCGAGGTAGAATAGCATTAAGCAAGTCTCCAAGTTTAAATGGTAGTCAACACAGTGGTTGCAAGTTTACATTGCTGTGATTGTAGAGCAGACCTTCACTCTCCAGAAGTACACTCTCGAAATCTCATCAAACAACGTTCAGAAGGTCAGAAATAGGAGCTGGGGGATGACAACAACGACGATTACTCAAGATGGGGGACGGGAATAGGGAGGGGGAGTTGGGAATGGGGGCTGGAAACGAGGGAAACGGGGTGGAGGCTGGGAACAGGGGGGAACGAACAGGGGGAACGAGGATGGGGGGCGAGGGGGACGAGGATGGAAGAAGGACACAATGATGGTTTGGACAAGTGGGTCGATTTAGTAAAAGCTTGGGGCATTTTAACATTTCCCTTTACTTAATATATAAAATTTATAACAATTCTTCTATAGTTTAATCTAATGCAAGCATGATATAGTAAATCATAAAATTTCAAACAATTTTTTAAAAAAATATGAGATAATATAATTTATTAATTCAAAATTATAACACAATTCAAAGTCTTTAAATTAGTAGTTTCTGCTCATTTTTTTAAAATCAAGTGTTAAAAAAATTAAATAAAAAATATTATTGATACTACTTGGATTCCCAATTTCGAATATTGTAATTTTTCCATAACAAAAAAAAAACAAAACAAAAAAAAAAATACAATAGCACAAATACACATAAATGTAAAAATAAATAAATATTAAAATTATGCAATTTTTGTTTTGTCAACAAGGACAGGTTTACTTTGAAAACAAGCAATAAAGAAGTAAACAACTCTTGTAATCAACCATCCTATTTGCCGAAAATCGTATTTTCACTTTCATTTTAATCTGCTAAAATGAAGTAAAAAAATATGAATTCACAAGGCATGTTTCCAAAGCAATTATAACTAAAATTTGCAAAACAATTCTAAGAAATGATTACAAGCTCTTGAGTCAGATGGGCAAAATTCTCAACACAAGCTCCCACTAGTAAGGAGTTAGACAGAAGAGGAAGAAAGGACATTCAGCATTTGTTTAGAAGTCTTACACATGAGGAAAACAGGGCTTTCAGAATTTGCTTGCATTGCAGAGACCGCCATAATACATCCCTAAGCGTCTGGACCAGAGCTTTTTCTCTAGCAAAAGCCGAAGTTAGTGAGGTAATTCGTTAAAATGTACCTTTCATTTATGCACACCTTGAAGAACGGCATGTGTTCGTTTTCGTACTGTTTCAGCAATAACCAATGTAACTAAATGAGATCAAAGACAATCTGGGTGACGCTGAAAATGTTAATACAGATTGCAGTGCTGTAGTATGACGCGATAAAAATTTGGTACAAGCTCAACGCTACGAATTACTGCTCATAAAGCTTATGCATGCACAGCAATTTGCTGACTTAAAATGAATACCACAATCTAAAGGTGACAATACTGTCTCATCACTATCACCGATGGCTTTGGTTCCGAATGTTGACCCAGCCACATATATACAACTGGATAGTTGACATTGGCAAAGCCTGGCTAGGATGATGGAACAGCACAATATGTATACAGAATTGTCAAACGAGGAATAGTCCTCCAGCTGTAGCTTTAGGCAGCGGGTGTCATACATCGTTTTATCAGAAAGTCTCTACTTCGTTGACACTCCAACCCCAATAGATCTGTTGAAAAGAAAAACACCTTGCTGAAGTTATTTCAAAGTCAGAGAGATCAGAAAACATTTTTATGTAATCAGAAATCACATGGAGGCAACAACAACCACGGCTAAAATCTAAATCAATCTCAGAGAACGTAACGAGTTCTGACTCTACTAAAAAAATCGAAGTTCCAAGAAGTGCGACACACAATTCAGCAACAGAATAATAAGCATCTTGAAAAGTATGTGTGGCATTACAAGCGCACCTAAGAGCAGTACATGATGGCATGCTTACAATGTTATGAATTCGTGATCGACATTTCAAGTTCAAGTGCAGCAAGGAGATCCTTATACTCCTCCGCAAACATTGGTGAACCCTGGGAGAGAAACATCACATAAAGTACATTAAGTCGGAATAGATCAGATATCGCGTCCACATCCCGACTGCTCACTAATGAGCTTCGTTGCGATAATCATCATGAAGAAATGATTATCACATATAATTTTACGTGTTTTACCTGCAAAGTATGACTGTAAGCCTGCCATAGCCGTGAATCCCCATGAAAAGTTTCAAGAAGAACCTGCAGACGACCAAGATGAAAGGTAACACGCACAATGAGACAAATTAAAAGATTTGGAACAAAGAACGAGCATCACGCAAGGGCAAGAAAGTCGGGGTACACGTTAACATAACCACGAGTCATTGGTAGAAGTTACTGACAGCCAAGCCAAAAATAAATATAAGCTTACCTCCACTCTTCGAAGAAGAGTAGCAAGGACCACTGTCCATTCTTGGAAGCCAACAGAGCACATATGTGTCAACAAAAATTCTGCATCTTGACGACCCTCTAATTCGTCCATGTTCAGCTGTAGCAAAACAACAGTGTATCGGAAGATTAAGAAAAAGGACAATCCCAAGAATAACAATCGATAAGGAAACATGTGATGTCCATGAAAAAATAGTCCTCAAGTTCCTCAAACTTAACCCCAATCCTTACAATACATTGTTTCACAACAGAAGTTGAAGTTAGAAGTAAAACCGAACTGGCAAATTAATAGCAAAAGTCAAACATTTCGGCAGGTTAAAGCACCAACTTTTTGGCCAACGATTAACAATGAAGAAGCAAAGTCGTCCAAACGAGCTGCTTTGCCCCGTTCTGTATAAAGGAACGCCTGAACAAACGTGACAAGAGGAACATAATCAGATCACGGCCTATCAATCACGTACTTTACTCGAAAACAATTTCCCAGATATGACTCTTTCAAGATGTTCCCTTTGAGAATATATTCTGTTCAACTAGTGCCTTAAAACAGCAAGGACAAAACTAGAGAAATCAGTCAGAACCACCTAGGGGTAAGAGTAAGAATCTCGGCGTTCCACCCTCCAATAATCAGTTCACTAGGAACAAGACTATATGAATAGCCAGTGGCTATTAAATGGTGTAAGCTTTGTGAAACAACGAATGGAGGTCTTTTATCTAATGAAAATGAAGCCCTGTCACTAACTAATGGACAGCACATCAAAATCAGATATGAAATGTGTAACAGCTTAACATACAGTGAAATCAAACTGAGTGGCTTTAACGAACGCCACCAGGTCTCGCAGCTCCAACTTTCTCATCAAGAAACTGGCGTGTTCTTCAAGAGTCCTCTTTACGACTGCAAAGTTTTGTTCCTTCTCAACCCAAGGTGTGCTGCAAAGGTGTCCAATCAAAAGCATGAAAAAATTATGTGAAGTGAGATATGGAGAAGCAACCTGTATAGAAAATAAATGCGTAAACTAGTAGGAATACAACTTGAAGTGGAACCGCGAAGATTACTTTAAGTGAAACATACCAGTTATGTATACGCGAACACAGCGTACCTGATGGTCAACCCCAACAAAGACGAAATGAGTCCGTTGCCATAACGTGGGACCTCTTTCTCTTGCGCCTCGTCCTCCCGACCACATCGGAGCAGAAATCGCACCTGAAGGTTCGCCAAGAAAGCAGTATTGTGTCACTTGAGATGCGTCAGTAGGACAAGATTCCAAACATCATAGACGGATCAACAAGCGTTTTAGTTTCTTGAAACTCAAGGTCTCTGATGACCTCACATTAACATCAGGACAACGAAGGGCAACATTTAACTCACCAGCTCACCAACCAACTCATACATAGACACTTCAAGTGTGGCCTGTCAGATTATCAGTATCATCAAAAAAGAAAAATGTTAAACAAAATATCAATTAAAGACGGGCGACAAATCCTGGAATCAAAATATAATACTCCCTACACAAGACAAAACACTCCATGGAACGCCAATTTCAACACGCAATACACAATTCAGATCAGCCTTACTCTACGTACTGAGATCTGGCAGTTCGGAAATAACAAAACCAGGACGCTTGGAAGGGAGCAAACCAAAGAGAATACATCAAAGTTGACCTACTTTAAGTAATCGAATGGCATTGTGCTGGCTTATGGTCGGACCTTCCAGCTTTTCAATCACCTAATCATCCCAAGCCAACAGGAAATATCAAGCTCAACCAACTATAGAAGGACAGAACTGCTTTCTTGGCGAACACTCACAGCACCTACAATCAGCCACCAGCATTTTGCTAATGAGCAGAAAAAGTCATAGCTAAACAATCAATGACTTTCTGGATCTTTCGTGCATGTCTCTCTCCTCGGTTAGATCGATCTCTAAGTACGCCAATACACTGACCAGTATGTAGCATGTGGCTGTCCGATATAAACCCTTCTCCAAGCACTCTTCAAACAACCTGCCAATACACCACTTTACAACTCAAAAACGGTTGTTTAATTTTGGCCCACTTTGTTCTGAAATTATTTCAACAACCAAATTCTAATCGATGAAAAATGCTATTTAATAGATTCATTTTAAGAGCTAACCTCTTGTATCAGAAACGAGGAACAACTGGCTAATGAGTCTGAACTCAGACATGAAATTAATATACATTTATCCAAGAGATTATACCCAATAAACCCCTATATTAAGATGTAAAAGACCTTTAAAGAAGGTCACTGCTTCCATTGCAGACATGTTCAAGACTATAAGCAGACATTCCTCACTAATACCTTGGAATTTCATGCTGTTGCAAGCGCTCACCGCACATTACTCTCCACAATGCATATTTAGATGATTTTGTGCATGTACTGGCAAACTATTAACTGCGAGATGAATATACACTTACTTGATTGAATTACCAGCTACAGCGAAAAGCTCAGGCCAGTGCCGGCTGTCAGTCTTACGTGCAACGCTGACCAAAACATCCAAATACTCTTGAAAGTTATGTATCAAGTTGCAAACTTGTTGTAGAAGTAAAAAGATTGTTCGCTTCACTGCAATATTCCTTCCTCTTCTTTTATTGGTCGACTGGCTGCAGAAACATTTGCACTCAAAATGTTCAAAAGTCGTGCCCGACAGGATGACATGCAAATGAAAGTTAAGGAGTACAATTCGTGGCAAACAAGTGCAACTTTACTCTAACTTCCAGAAGTCAATTGAAATGCAACCATACGCAGGTCGAACCTTGACATTCCCCCCAAAAAAACTGAAGGAGAGCTCACCTTGACATTGCTGCATCAAAAACCGTGAATAAAAGCCACTCCAAAGAATGTGAAAAGTGTGGTAATCCTTCTGATAACTTTGCCAGTTGCAGTGCATCCTCTGACTTGTTCCGCTGGGAATGCGACAACAGGTATCAATATACTTTCTCAAAATTACTTCTTAAATTCACTTATCCAAAATACTACATTTCATCAACAAAGAGTAGCCCAAATGTACCAAGATCATGCTTGAAATGATCCAATATCAATGTTTTCCTATGCTCAGCAGAGCTCCATCTTGAGAATATAAACGAAACAATAACCTATTACATGAATTTTCCAGCCAAAGCACTGTATATTATAGTGAATTATGTCTGTAACCATCACTACAAAGTCAAAGCTGAAAGAACATACATGGTGAAATGGATAAACTGCCAAGGTCCAAAAAACCAAGACAAGAACAAACCTGCAGCAGATGCCAAAGCAAACAAGGAAGAATGGGTTGAGCTTGTGGGGTAGGCTCAAAGCAGGGCATGAGAATACAGCCTGAAAGAGTCAGTCGCTGTGAAATTCCCACAATAATTCCTGCTGCCGGAGATAAACCAAGAGGATAAACTTCGCGATCAAAATCTAATTCGGGCTCCAACTGTCCAGAACAAAACAACGAATATACTTTCAGGCCCCTGACTACGAACTGCAATTGACAACTTAATCAAAAAAAATTGGCGATTCAGGGAAAAAAACAGCACAAAGCTATTTGATATTCGCATGGTACACCAAAGATACTACAGTGCATTAAAGATCGTACATCCAATATATTGCGCACCTGTCTCACACTTGGACTTTGGACAACGTTTGAAGTCGACGAGGGGTACCAGACCTGATCCACATAGGAAACATCAATTAACAGCTTTGAAAATTTGAAACGAAAATCACACATCCTGTCGAGTCAAAGAATAAACCCATCGTATGAAATATGGCACAATATATACCTGCATCCCTTGAGGACCATAAGCCCAGCATGGATCCTCTTTGACCGGATCAGCTTCTACTTTTGCCTGCTCATTACTTAACCAGAAACGTTCCACTCCAGAAAGAAGCCGACGCTCGTTGCCATGATCCAAGTCCAGCAACGAAAGCTCTCCATCTGTGCGGAGAATCATACACCTACAAGAAAGTTTGGACACACTAAGACATGATAATCTTGTTCATTGGTCGAGTCTACATAATTTGTACATAAAATTTCAAAATATGATCTAAAGTCATTCAGTTCCATCGGTTTCTTATGTCGGAATCTCAGCAGAAAAGGAGCATTTGCATAACAAAATAGAATTAATACCTGGTAGGTTGCTTAGCAGCTTCGCCAGGTAATTCGCTGCCATGATAAACGTTAGTGCCAACACGAGGACTATCCCACGAATTAGCCATACCTTCACTCCAAGGTCCAACGTTCGGAACAAAGTGCATTGCCACCGGAGATTTTCTACTGCTCATGATTGACAGCTCCCGAACTGTAAAGAGCTGCAAAATAAAAACCACTCTTTCAAACAACAACTCGAACGATCCCGAACACAGTACATCCACATACGTATCAGAAGTTTATGCATTCCTACAGAGAAGTGACACTTAAGTTGCAGAGAAAATAACATACAATCAATCTCTTCAATTTGATAAAAAGAAATGAAGCCTGTGCAGAAAACTCACTTGAACTGTTGCAGACCTCAAAGGAGATAGCTCGCCCTGAACATGTACTTTGAAAACATAAATATCAAATGGAGGACAAGTAACAAGAATGTAATCTTGCCACACATCCAGTGCTATCGGTTTCCCTGGGAGCTGCTTGCGATATAGTAAAGAGGTCTCGTCTAGATGGTACCGTGGATAAAGACACAATTCATACCTACAAAATTGTCAGTGGTGGATACAATTAGAATAATCTGTACAACTATAAATCATTCAAAGAAAGCCGCTGCTTTTGTCCTATGTAATCCTTGAGCTGATGATTTACACCTTAATCATTACGGTTGATGGGATGGTAAAACGGTGCACAGACATCGTCTGGTGTGCTCACGCCATGTACACAAAGAGCACAAGATATGAGCAATATTTCTAACTAGTTTAGTGTCAACAGAGAATCCAAAAGATAGTAACAGAAAAAAGTATGATAAAGAACCTTGCAGAGTTCAATGACAAAGTGCATGCATTAGATTCGAGGGTTATCATAATAATCCATATATCACTCACGAGTTTGAAATCTTCCGATGGTTGCAAAGGACCACTATTTTTCCCAACCAAACAACACCAACACAGTGCACCTGCCGTTCCTGCAGCACATCTCCAAATACTCTCCACTTCTTCACCTGCACATCATGAAGAATTAGGCCTTGGCGACCAGCAATGGCAAGATAAGTCCCATCTTCGTTGCCTGCAACTTGAAGAATCGGCCAATTGTCCAGAATATATGAATGCTGCAAACAATCATCAAATTACACCAAGTCAAGTAAGATCCTTGAAATATACGTCGTAATTATTACATTTCCGGATGATAAAAAAACGCCCCAATAGCAAGTATTACACCTGCATATGCTTATCATGGTGAATGAATATTCTTTAGTACAACAAAATATCGCATATAAACACACTCTAAAGTTTATGAACCAAGGAATGACGTCGATTTAAAACTTTATCGTACTATGGTAATATAAAGAACATATGACTAAGGAAAAGCTTACAGGTATGACAAGATGGTGACTCTTGACATCATTGTTCTCGTCAGACTGAACGAGCAATACACGATCTGCCCCATGCATTAACTGCCACACATCGGTAATTCCAGCAATATTTTGACTCGAGGAACTGCCAAAGCACTTTCAATATTAGTATCAAAGTACAAACCTTCACATGAATAGCATTATTCCACAACAGAACTTATTTTCTAAAAATTAATTACGAACAAAAAAATATGTATACATATTTTTATGTATAATTTATTATTTATATTTACATATATTTATATATATTTATAGGCACACACGCAAACTGAACCACCCTTTAATTACAACATACCACGGAATGTATGGCAGGATCACAACTCAAGCCATCATTGATGATGTGGAAGAAGTCCTTCTACATGACACTGTTGACATTAACCCACAAATAACCCGGACTAAAAACAAGGGCAATGTCGTGAACTGCACCTTTTGGCGAAACGGAATTCAAAAAACCGCAGCGTACTACCCCTCTCAACAGCATAAAGCTCGTATGCGTGATGACCCCAGGCCAATGCACCCACACCCTGTACCATAGGCTCACTCATGGATCTGTCGCTATTAACTCGAAGAGACGGCGACTGTGAATTGCTCAGGCTACCTTGCCGGATCGTGCACATAAGCCTGCATCCAGAGGCAGACCATACTGCTAAACCTCTGTTCTTCCATCCAACGGCAAACGCACGGTTGTCTGGAGTCCAAATGACCTGGGACACTGGACCAGTGTCTTCTACAGCATACCTGTGAATCAATCGTACAATAACTACACATATCAGAATATATCTTATACCATTTCCCAATATTTTGAAAGAAGAAAAGTAAAGACACGCATCGCAGAAAAGCTAAAAGATAAAGGAGTCCACCCGCAGCACCTCAGATGAAATTATCCGCTAAAACTAAGAGAAATAAGTGCACATCGAAAATTGACTAATTCATTTTTATTGTAATATCTACTTCACTTGCAGCCTAATCTGGACTCTAAGGTTTCATATGTGAAACACCAGACTCAAAACACATCGGAAGATATGGGATGGTACAATATCAACGACCCACATGGGAATCTCCATAGGCTGCATATATGTTTTATATAAACTTACCCCCAGTCGACCAAGGAAATTGTACGAAGATACGATGCAGAATCTGCCAAGTTAAAAAGCTCCACACTTCCCCGCTTGGTTCCAACTGCAAGATATTGCTGATCGTGAGCAATAGATGCACACACAGCGTCGAAGACGCCAATCCACCGTTCCGGTGTTATTTCAGTGCCTTGTTTAGAACCTTTTCCACTGACATTACAGAGAGCAACAGTTCCTTCCGTAAAAATTGCTACTAAGAGACGTAACTCAGCCGAAACTAAAAGTTGAAACAGTCCACTTGTCCTTTTGGGTATCTTTGTGTCATCTCCAACTGATACTGGTGAAAGTGGAAGACGAGGCGATAGTGGAAAAGAGGACTGATGGACAAGACCACCACTTGGAGAAACTGCAGCCCTGTTCGCCTCAAATGAGTGAATTGCTTCAGAAGCTGGCACAAAATCTTGCAGAACATCCGAGACCCCAAGCACCTGTTTAAATTGAGCAGACAAACAAAAAATTCAGTCTAATAGAACTAGAGAGAAGACAGAAGCATTCGACCTTAGCCACATGAAATGGCATAAGCCGTATTATGTCTTACTACCAAATCTGTACAAAGAAACCAAAAAGTTGAGCTACACACAAATGTAAGTAGCTGCAAACATGAAAACTTCACCTCGCCACTCCAAGAAACAATCCGAAGGCAATTATTCGAAAGTCCAAGTATGATGTTGAACACATCACCTGCAATGCAACTCCTGCAAGAGTACAATAAAATAAAAACAACTCGTTAACTCTTTGTATTCTCGAATGAAGATCTGGCTCCGTGATCAATGGACAACACTGTTCACATCCTACAGATCCTATTTCCCCAATGCGAATAAAAAGAACGAAAGAATGAGAGCATGTTATAAATGTCGCATAGATAGCTTGACTGGCACATAAGGGTTGCAGCATACACTGTCACTGAGCGGTTGTATAACGCAACATCCACGCTACTTGAGAAGATCACATTGACGAGGGTAAGCTCTAAATTGTCATGGACAGACGACCGCAACTGCTTTTCAGATGCTTTGATGTGGTAGAAGTGAAGATAACTTTCGGATGTCTGCACATGAACATGCAAAATTATTTAAATCAAAGTAACAGATGAACCCTCTCAATGCACTAGTAGAACAGATGCATAACCTTCATTAAGGTACAAGGTAAATGACTTCAATTAAGGGATTCAGCTAGACAATGATCATCGTCAAAGCATACCAATAACAACAAAAATAAACATTAAGTGGTTGAAGGGACTTTGGTGTGATGTTACACCCCCAATAATATCAAGTCTGTGCACAGAGTTACAAGTTTAGGTCATCATCTATCAGAAAAATAAATAAATAAATAAATAAACAAAGAAACAATATTTTTTTTTAATGAACTTAGCCTTTGGCTAGAGTCTCACCAAGACAGCTACAGTGTTGCCTTTTTCACTCCATAGGGCGTGAATATTTGCGCCCTCACGAGATTGCAGTTCCCGCTTGAATTGACCCAACTTTGTTGTGTGCTGCACATGTTTATCACGATAAAACCCCCAGCTTAATTCTCAGACTCAAAACCCACTAGTAAATTAGATTTCTTTGGAAAATGATGAGCATGATCATTTGCAGGCATGTTCATCTGCAAATGAACACGAAAACCTTCAAAAGCTGGACATAACAGCAGCTTGATTCATAAAGCTTCCAGAGATACAACTCATGTCATGTACACTATGATGAATACTCTGCTAGAATAAACCAAAGAATCAGGCCTTTAAGGTCCCAGTAATTCTGCAACGTGCAGGATCAAAGTGCCGCAATCAATACAGGAGAAGAAGCAACTCATACAGCATTGCAACGCACCTGGTCGGCACTCCACACTTGGACTTGTGTGGAGGTCACTAGCAACAGCCAACCTGCTTGCACCGATAGGTGCACCACAGGCTGAGGCGAGCTGGTGCCGATGGAAAGCAATTTGGGCCATCCGTAAGCGACATACATGATTGCAAATGCCTGCTTCAAATCTACAAATGCCTGAAAAGCGGCCTAACAACAACAGCTTCGCATTTCAGCGGCATATCAGGCTGTGGAAGACCTAGTTTATCACTAAGCCCTATCATTTGGTCTGGGTTGTGAGCCAACATAGATTGCAGAACCTCCAAATACGAATAATGATATAATTCATCCAACCAATCTCCCCTTGCTCCTCCTGCCATTCAGGACAATATCCGCCCAAAGATTCATTTCAATGCCTCCAAATTCCTTGATAATAACACACCATCGAAATTCTACTGCGTTGTTTCCTAACGCAAAACGTGTTCCCGATGAAGACAGTGAATCCTGGATTGGCAAAGCCCTGCACGGTGCAGCAAACATACAATTCAAATAGGTACCCAAGCATTCTTTCAAAGCCGTAAGGATCCAGCTGGTCCGAACATGACAGCGAACCTGCGAATAATAACAACAGACGACATTCACAAAATCCAAAGCAGAGGGCGACAGGAATGGATTCCACCAATGCAACTTTCTTCCGCATGCACAGTAACAGCATCATCCCATAGGCGATCTCAGAACAAGATACTAACATTATTCCCTTACTCTATCTTAGATGTAAATGACTAGCGCACTGACAGCGCTGCTCGGATCGAAACTACTCTTCTCTAAGCTAACTATCCCCCATGCACTCCACCAACGTAACACCTAGACGTCCGCGTGAGCTGAAATTCAAATCAACACCAGAAGCCCCGCAGCTTTATCCTTCACATTGCTCACCTCACCACGCAACTCCTCCTCAACCCTCAACTACGCTAAACTAACAAATCCGTGGCTCAAATGCAGCAATCTAAAAACATCCGCGAAACAGATCGCAATGCGTGGACCTCCGAACATGCACAACACTTCTGGAAATCACACAGGTGATCAGCAAAACCTCAATTCAGAAATGGAATCTCTTCGATCCGACGAACGAGGCACCAGCGGCAGGAAGGAGAGAAAGAGAGACACACCTCAACGAGGTGTATGGATTGGTTTGTTCCAAGATTTGCGACGATTGAAGCTCCTATGGCAGACCTAACCCTAGAGCAGGATTGGAGCGGGAGCAAGAGCGAGAGCGAGAGCGAGAACTTGGTAGACTAGGATGGAGATGCATTGGAGGGAAGGAGTGAGGATTGTTGGAGACAGAGGTGGCGTGATTTCGGCGAAGACGGCGACGCCGGAGAAGGGAGGAGCGGGGGGGGTTGGTCGCAACGCAAAACGAGAAGAAAGAAGATCCCACCATCGCGCCCCCCCCCCCCCCTTCCCTCCGGCACACCCCCCCCACCTTCTCTCTTCCTTCCGTTCCTGTCTTTTTCTTTCTCTCTCCCTCTCTCTTTCCATCTTCATCTCTCCTTTGTCTTTCGTCTTTATCGGTATTTTCGTTGCCTTTAACTTTTCCGATATCCCTCTTGTCTTTTCTCTTTTCCCTTCCGATCATCTTTTACTTTTACTTTTTACTTTTCTTTTTACTTTCTCGATGCTTCTGCTTTCGTCACAATTCCAAGTGCTTGCAGTAAAACTCCTCGTGTCTTTAATTCAATTTACGGGTCCATGTGGTACTAGTGTCTAAATGTTTAAGGGGGTTTTATTTTTATAGATTCTAAAATGTTCTTCATGAGTGTTTGTATTGAATACATGGGTTAGGTTGGAATGTGAACGAATGAAACGTGTGAACGTAGTTCCAATGAAGTGCTTTGCGGAGCAAAATCTGTGTGTGCATTTCCAGTTGTTGATGAGTTTTATTCTATAGTTATGATGTGTATTAATCAAACTCATACTTGGAAATAATAATTTGGAAAAAAAAAAAATTGTGTTTTAAATTTATCTACTTAATTTTAAGCAATTTGGAGAAAATTAAACACATATATGCTTTAAATTTGATAGATAAAATTATGTTACTTAAGCTCATAGAAAACAAATGCATCAAGGGTGCAGCTGGTGTGGGTGAATGTGTGTTTTAAGAATTTTTCCTAAGTTATAATGATTTGGTTGCAATAAGATTAATTTAAGATCTAATTTAATATTTAAAAGCCAATTGGATTTTTTTTAATAACTAAATAATATCACAAATTTATATTTTTGATAAAAATTGAAGTTGTTCACATGCAAACATGCCTACCCCATGCATTTACAAATAGAAGCTATCTATAATAAAACCTTAATACTGGCCAAATTTTAACATCTTCTTATGTATTCTAGGGTGATTTATAAAATAAATAAAGAAATAAATAAGAATTCTCTGTAACACATTTAGGAACTTCCTAATCCCCTTTCCCCATCTGCCTCCACATTTGCATTTAATGTTTTTTCTTGAATGAGGACATGCTTGTCAAACACTTCTTTTAAAAGATTTCAATGACATCAAAGATGGAAGACAAACCTAAAAGGATTTTGAAATTTTAAATGACCATGGTAATGAAAATTTTGAGATTGAGAAACAATTTAAAGATTTTATGCTGGTATCAAGAAAAAAGAATTAAATAACACATCACTGCTAAATATCAAGAAAAAAGAATTAAATAACTCATCACTACTAAATTTATATATATATGAATTGATTGCATTTATTATACTATTGTGAAATAATCATTTTATATTTCTTGAAAATTTTAAACTCTTTGTTCAAATTTTTAAAAAATATTGGCAAAGATTGAGACAAACTTTGATTTTACACTATTAAATAACTTGCAAAAAAAATTTAAGAGCATTCTTACTTTAAATATATTTTTTTATGCTAATGCTTTTAAGAAGTAGAACATCGGCTAATCCTTATTGATTTTTCTAAAAAGAAAATAAAACGAAAAAAACTTGCGACACAATTTTATTTAAAACCAAGGAATAAAATGGACCTTGAGTTGGATGTGTATTATGCCTTTCACAAACAAGAGATCCTTGTCCAGAAATGTTTTTCAGATACCAAGAAAGGTTGTTGAAAATGTTAGAGTTGTTCATTAAAGTATTGTTGTAAGACTATCGGGACAATTATCTACACATTTGCATCTGTGTTTGAATGTATGTATGTGTTTCTCTCTTTCTCTATCTATATATATATACATACATACAAATCAAGCCTAAAATCCTACTCGATGTACTAAAAATAATTTAAAAGAAAAGAAAAGAAAAGAAAAGAAATCTCGGTAATTACGCCTCTCAAAACGATGCAAACCCCGATGCCGTGATTTGGATCTTTGACCATCAGTCATAAAATCCGCGAGGTTACGTTCACACAGCACACAACCACGGCTGTGCACGCAGCGCAGATAACACCGACAGTCTCCACGACTTCGATCGAAGCACCTGGGATCTGAACAACATCACAATGTCGAGCAGCATGAGCCTTCCTTGAAGAAGATGTCTAGCAGCATCTCCGGCGCCATTCCCTGGCCATCGATGCATCCCTGGACACTGTAGTCGACGGTGGAGCCGTGACAAACCGGTCGAAGGTGGCGTCGACGGTGTTCGGGTTAACAGCGTGCTTAGGTCGAATTCGAACGAACATCGGAAATGGTGTTGTTTGACAGGCGGCGCGCCCGCTCTTCAGGATCGCTTCATGGGCTTCTGCTGGTGTGGATTTTGCTCAGCTGCTGGTATTGAGGGGAGAGTTCGTTGAGATGGGCAACTGATTGGCTCATCAGCAATGCGGATAGAGATTCTGTTGCAGCGCAACAACATCCGCTTGCTTGTCTTCAACACCGATCCGTGTGAGGCGATTTGGGATGCGGCTAACGGACGTGGGACTCAACGGGTAGTTTACCGACTGAACTGTGCCGTTTCACTTTTCTCAAAACTGTTTGGTTTGAAGCTGTGAGATGGTCTGGATTCAACACTCTGTTGCCATCTGGACTTGTTTGTTCGAAGAGAGGGAGACAAAACCGAAAAAAATTCATACATGTCTGATGTCATATAAATTTGAGACTAGTCCATCTCAATTTCAAGTGTTTTTATTTTTAATTTTTAAAAATAAATATTGAGTTTATATTTACATGAAAACATAAAATTTGTTAATTTCATGATTTGGAATGTATAACTTCAAGTACAAATTCCCTTTCTCTTGTGATGTACGGGAGTTTCAATTTCAACTCAATATTAAGCTTGGAAATTTTATTTGATAATTAGATAGAAAACATAATTCAATTGCATAATGGTTTGTAAAAAGAATAATTCATTTGTATAGAAAGCTCATACTATTTTAAGATTGAATTGATTTTGAAAGATGTTTACAAATTCTTCTTTTTAAATCTGATTCAAATGCTATTGAAAATTCCCAAAACATTTTAACTAAACCTTATCATACATGATTTTATAATGTACATTATCTAATGTAAGCTTATTGTATCGGGTCTATATGTGAACATGATGGCATTTTATCATTAAGGCTCATTAATAATTAAAAAATGCCATCATGTTCACAAAATGATGCTTTGATTAATTAAATTTATTTACAAAATAAAACCAATTATTGCGATTTCTTATATATACAACTAGATGGATTTGTATTGTTATCATGGAAAGTGTGATTGGAATGAAGTATTTTTTTGAAGATAAGTTTGTCAATTAAAAAATATTTTTTTGCAATTTTTTCAAAAGAAAAGAAAAGAATTACCTAATAGAACTTTTAGCTACAAAGTAGGCTAACTAAATCCATACCGTTGTTAAAGATAATATGAAAAAAAAAAAAAAAAATTGTTCAAGGAACTACTTGTTAAGATATAAGAAAAGTATAAGATTACATTAAAAAAATATTAAAGTATATTAAGATATTCAAAGATGTATTAAAGTCAAAATTTGAAATAATGAAAAAATAAAATATAATATTAAATATTAAAAAATACTAATAACTATCTAATCAAAACTTTTAGAAAAACAATATTTAATGTGGAATTTGAATTTTTGTTTGGAAGAAGAATTTTGATAGAATAGGAAGAAGTATATTGTGAAAGTGCTACATAAAATTGAGTATGGAAAAAAATAAATTATTGTAGATTCAAACCAACATGCTTCATTGATTGTCCTTGAGACTTGTTTATTCTTGTTACAAATACAAGATGTATTAAGAACTAATTCCTCTTCAAAATGAATGCTATTGTATTATGTGTATTCTTGCTTGAAAATGCACCAAGCACCTAGCTGTAGAAGATTAGTAACAATGCAACAACAATTCTACTAAGTCTAATAGAGCCTTAAATAAACTTTAAGTAATTCCTAATAATCCAATCAAACTTTAACTTATTGAAATAAATTTAAAAGAAGTAAAAAAAAATCCTAAAAAATACTAAAAATAAAAAATCTAATATAATCTTAATTAAAATCCTAATTAAATCTTAACCAAATCTTAGATTAAATCCTAATAAAATCCTAATAAATTCTTAAATTCTAGACAAATCCTAGACAAGTTTTAAACCAAATCTTAAGCAAATCTTAATCCTAACCAAATCCTAGATCAAATCTTAAACCAAATCCTAATCAAATCCTAGATCTTAAACAAACTCTTAACAAATCCTATAGTATAATGGAACCTCAACAACCTATGTTCAAATTATTGATATCAACTCAAAATTTGATTACTTCTTAATGTCTTAGTAAGAAACAAGCACAAAAAAGATGAAATCAATTATACTTACTAATTGATAGAAATGTAAGATAATCCAATAGGATATTTGGCTACCTCATTCTCCAATCTGAATGCTAAACTTCTAATACTAATATCTCCTTTTTGAACCATTGAATTTTTCTTTAAATTTATCTAAAAAATTGAAAATCAAATCTAATATCTATACAAAAAAAAATTACTTCAATCTAATTGACAAATTGTTGAAGAATTTAGAAATACTCACTGACCCTCAAACTCCAATTTTTGAGACTTCAATCCACAAAAACCTTCACATACTTTGATTTAAAGGCAAAGTAAGTAAAAGCCTATTTGTAAAAAAGCAACATTAGCATCTTTTAGTTTTATTATCTTCCAATTATTATCTATATTTCTAAGATAATTTGCTATAATATTTTAAAATAAGATCTTCTATAATATAATATTTTCTTCTCTCTTTTATTAATTAACCATATTACATCATCACAATGGAAGCTCTTTTCTTAGAGAAGTTAATATTGTCTACAAAATAAATACCAAGTTTTCAACAAATTAGCTTCTAAAAATTCTTGCTTCAAGAATATTATTGATTAATCATGTAATTATCAATTGGATTCCATTGCAAAGTCTTTAGTAAAG